AAAAAGATTGCTTACAACTATGCTGGTTTTTTGTATTTGAAATGTTGGACTTGGCATAGTGGTTTGCAATGCAAGAAGTACTTATACTTCATAGTATCTGTTTTACATAAACTTGTCGTGATGGTATTATGATTCGCTATGCTTTTCTCTACAGAAACGGAAATTGTTTCTGAGTTTTATTCCAAAGGACATAACTGACATTAGTCTTTTTAGTACTTTTAAGTTGTTCTCTTATTACACAATACTTTATTGTGTTTTCTTTGAAATGATTTTTGATTGTTGAAATGTGTATCAGAATTTGGTATGAAACACTTAAACGAAATTAGCATGGTCATTGGTGTCCCTAATGACTTTGGGCTCTAGTCCATGGTTATTTTGTTCTAGTTTTTTCAAGTATAATGTGGGCTGCCTGCTTTGAAGCGATATGTTTAAACAAAATGATTAATAACCAGTTAGCTAAATAGGGTGCTCAGCTCACCTTTATGCTGGCTTGTTCCTTGGACCTTTTGGGGCTCCATAGTTACAGGTTTACTTGACTCTCTTTTGTTTTTGTTTGGTTTAGCTTTTCTTTGACTTTGAGGGGTTAGGTTTATGTTCCCTCCCGGGCTAGGCGTCTCCTTTTTTCATATAAAAAAATTTCCTTGTTCCTTGGAGGTTCCATTTCAGAAACTTATGCTGTTTTTGCTTGAATTACTTTTGTGCTGATTTTGTGCTTGTTTGGGAAACAAATAGTCGTAAATCTCATGGAAAAACTTACTTTGTCATTAATTAGACTTCTTATTATTGGGGTGTTGTTATGAGACGTTTGAGTTTGATTTGTGTTCTGTTTTTTTTTTACTGTGTTTTGAAGTATCCGAGGAATTGGTGTTGTATCTAATGCTGTCTTATTGCTGGGGTATCATGAGATGTTGTATGGGTTTGATTTGTGTTCTGTTTTTGTACTGCGTTTTGAAGTATCATTTGTGATGACATTGATTATGCCCTGCTACAATTCAGTTGGAAAGATAACTTGATACAAGATGGTAGAATTTTCATGGAAAGGAAATTGAGTTGACTAACAAGTACCAAACTATGCATTGTATATATTTTATGCCATATTCTGTCTAATTTTTATTCTATGACCAGCCCCTTCCTGCTGTGGAGGAGAAAGAATTGAAGGAGACACTGCAGGAATTAATTGGACAGGGAAAGAAGGTCATACTTGAGCAGAAGGTATGTAGTGGTCTTTTCATCTGCTCTTCAATGCACCAATTGTTTTATAATGGATGGAAATTTGATTCTGTTTTACATGCCAGATTGATCCTAGTATTCTGGGTGGGCTTGTGGTAGAGTTTGATAAGAAGGTGTTTGACATGTCCATTAAGACCAGGGCACGCCAGATGGAGAGGTATTTGCGGGAACCCGCAAACCTTGACAGCCTCTAAAAGGTGTTCACGGACTGATACTGCGGTCTCCCCCATTTTTCATGTATCTGTTATTGTCAAAGTTCTAAGAAGGAAAAAAAAATGTTTAATTTTGGTGCTTGAACCCTTTCTAAAAAGATGGAAAGCAACTTGATCTGGATGCCATCCATTTGCAAATAAAAGCTTGTTTTCCGCATTGTTCTGGGCAAGAGACTCGCTAGTTTCATGTTCTTTATCTTCCTGTTTTGTCGCGTTTTCGCCTTTGAAGTCAAAGCTTGTTAAGTTCTGTTATATTGCTGCACAAATATTTATATAGAGAGCTGTTCATTGGCTGTGTTTTACAAACGTTCC